CCTTGACTGGGAGGGCGAATATGGTGCGTGCTTTATTTCGGTCATGGTGCGTACACCTTACCTGCTGTTTTAGATAAAAAGACAGTTCAGAAGGTATGGGTGTCTCCTATACGGTGGTGACACCCGGATGAGCCCCAGGTGAACCGTTCATGCTTCCTGTTCATGTTCATACTCTTAAGGTTGTTCGGTGGTCAACTGCAGCCAGTAGCCGTCCATCGCTGTCGATTCCCATTGAACTGCCGCACTCCCGAACCCGCCAACTGGCACCGGCCAGAGGCTCTCCACTCCGTCGTTTTGATCCCTCCCTGCCCTCCAGCTCCGGTGGACCCCTCGCTCTGCCCCCCAGCCCCGGGACCCCTCCCTCTGCCCTCCAGCCCCGGCGACACTTTACTCTGTCCTCCAGCTCCGGGGACACGCTCCTTCTGCCCTCCAACTCCGGTGATACGCTGCTGTGGCCCTCAGCCCAGGTGAACCCTCCCTCTGCCCTCCAGCCCCGTGACCTCTCCCTCTGCGCTCCAGCTCTGGTGACCCCTTCTTCTGCCCTGCAGCCCCGGCGACCCCCTCCTCTGGCCTCTGCCCTCCAGCCCCAGTGACCGACACCCCGGCGCGGGTGACGGCGTCTGCGTCCCATCAAGGCGCCAGTGGCGGCGCTAGCCGACGGCAGCGGCCGGCCCTGCTCGATCGATCGACCGAGCGCGGCCACGCTCAGGTCAACTGACGGCCGGCGGGGCGCCCGCCCGGCCGCCCGCCCGCCCGCCCGCTCGGCCGCCCGCCGCCCGCCCCCCGCCCACTCGGCCGGCCGGCTGACGGGGGCTGGCGCAGACGCCCGGCCCAGTCCGCTCCCGACGCCACCCGTCATGTGCACCAGAGCACGTTGGATCATGCTTTTTGCTGAAAAATCAACACTAACTGGCGCCTTAGCTGGGACCAGATTGCGCCCTCTTTAACTGGCGGCCGCGCCAGGCGACTCCCTTCATCCCGCCATGGCCATAGCACGCAGACCACCCCCGCCGCGCCATCAGTTAGTGCTCGTGTCGATGCATGTGTGAGGTGGTCGGTTCAGGCCTGACTTCGGTAGCCTTGCCTGGACCGTTTCCTTCCCAGCAAATGGCAGCAGCTGGGGAGAACCGCGGGATCACCATGCCGAGGCATTAACGCAGTGCCAACTAGCCTGCGCGTCGGTGAGTTCACGGGCCTGGTGTGCCGTGAAACGGGCCCTTCGCGACCCAAGGGCCTGTATCTGAGCCATCGGGGGGGGGGGGGGGGGGTCTGACCACTGGGTCCGAGGAGTCGGCATAGGCCCGCTGTTTGCGCATGCCTGCCACAGCGGGCAGCCTTACAAACAGCGCGTGGTCAAGACTGTTCCGCGATGGTGCCGGATTAAAAAATGAAACCAGTTCTGCGCATAGTGTACACACACACACGCACACACACACACACGCACACACGCATACACGCACACACGCACACATACGCATACATACATACACACACATACATACATCAAAATAAACGTCATTGAAAAACCTAATCTAACCCACAATTGTCATGACATAGGCAACCAACTCTAACAAAGCAGCGCCATACAGATTCTGCCGTTCTACCTTGCGCCACAGCGCCAGTGACGGCCAGAGAGCAGCGCGTGTAACCAGTGCGCCGGCACTCACCCCGGACAGTGACCAGGTGCCGACACCTTCCTCGGGACAGTGGCCGAACGCCGATACTCCGGACAGTGACCAGGCGCCGACACCTACCTCGGACAGTGGCCGAACGCCGACACTTATCTCGGACAATGACCAGGCGCCGACACTCATCCGGGTAGTGATCAGGCGCCGACATTCACCCGGACAGTGACCGGGCGCCAACACTTATCTTGGACAGTGACCAGGCGCTGACACTCATCCGAACAGTGACCAGGCGCCGACACTTACCTCGGACAGTGAACAGGCGCCGACACCTACCTCGGAGAGTGACCGGGCACCGGCACTTACCTAGACAGTGACCGGGTCCCGACACTCACCCGGACAATGACAGGGAGCCGACACTCGCCCGGACAGTGACCAGTCGCCGGCACTCACCCCAGACATGCGCCGGTAGCGGCGGCTGTAGCCCCGCAGCAGGTGGTGCACGTCGTACTGGGTGTGCGTTGGCAGGGCGTTACGTCTGCCGTACACGGCCAGGCTGGCGCCGCGCGGCACCGTGCTGTTCCACTGCACGTAAGCGTCGTCCGGCAGGTAGAACTGCATCGACCAGTAGCCGTGAGGGCTCAGAGTCTCGGCATAGCTCTCCGACAACCGCACCACAGAGAAGGTGCTGCCAGCCGGCGGCACGGTCTTGCGCTGCACGTCTGCAACACGCCACGGCACCCCGGGTCAGGTCAGGTCAGGTCACGGCCCGCCGCGCGACGCCTGATAACGTCGTTGCGGCCAGGTCAGCCGTTCAAGAGTGGGCCGATTATCGGCGAGCGGAACGGGTCAACGCTGGCTTTAAACGCCCCGAGAAGACGTTTCTGAAGCATATCTGAAGCATATTTTTACGGTTTATTCTGAGCGGCATGATGTGCAGAAAAATTAATCCCCGCCTTTTTGCGTGCACACACGTTTTTCGTCTGTTGATGTTGCCATCCGATATTTACTCTTACTGACTTTATTACCAGAAATCGACTGACTATCCACGATTGTATTCGCTCTTCATACGTGGTTTTGGTTCCCAGGCTATGTGACACGCAAACTGTTCTTTATCGCAAAACGATAACAAGTGCGCTATGGCTACAGCCCAGACAAGTTATTAATCAGTGATCAGCTGTGACCGTAGACGGGCCAGCGGCTGTAACCGTCGATGGCATGACTCTAGGTCAGCGGCTGTTTATGTGAGGCATGTGGCGAGTCACCTACGCCCCTCGTTGCGATCCGATCCGGGGGGAGGAGGGCGCGGTCGACCGTTTCAAAACCCGCCGTTCACGGTTCACCTCAGGGTCTGGATAAACAAGCCGGCTGACTTCACGCGTCGGCCGCGCGGCGCCGTTTGTAAGATTTATCGCCGGCAGTGCGTTCTGGCCCATTCGGCAGCTCATATCGAGTCGTGCCGCGCCGCGCGGAGGACGAAGGCCGCGCGGCAGGGGCCGGCTCCAGCCGCTCTGTTGTTCCGCTGCAGCCACGCGCGGCGCCGACTCGTAATCTCATCAAACAAAGCGGCTCAGCCAGCTTCGCGGCAGGCCCTTCGCTTCTTTCACTCGGAACCATTCGGGGCCCGGCTAAACAAACAGGTTTTTGCAATTAGAAGTTCTCGAGTGGTACGGGAAGTTCATTTTGCGTGGGCGGGAGCTACCGCGGGAGTGCCCCCACGTTTGGCAGGTGACAAACAGCGTCATTTGGTGCTGCAGCTTATACTGCTGGTGAACGTGTTGTAGTCTGCGTTTGAACCGCGCTTCAGGACTGACTGCGGTGTGGCATCAGTTTGGTTTGGTGTTCAAAAATGCAGCCGCCATCCAGTTCAAACGGCTCTTCCGACTACGCCACCGTCACACACGGTCGACCAAGGTCACGATATTGGCTTTAGGATTTCCAGACCTTAGAAAAGATGCTCTAAAAGATTAGCTTGGTTGGTATGGATCTATCTAGCTCTCAAAGTTTGGAATGAATCGCAGAGTGTCTGCTATGTATGTAACACGACCCGATTTTACTTTAATCAGTGATTCATATTCGTCACTCTTGGTCACCATCAACGAGATGCAAACAACGGAACCCATCCATTCAATATTGGTGAACACATGAAAATGTGATGTCTCTGAAGTTTATGTCCAGGTCCATGAGAGTTCCGATGTTTGTACATTAGGGCAATGCGTGATTCTTTTTGGTTCAATAATGGGCTGTGCACGCGTGGCAAATGCAAGAGTGTGGTTTAGTGCCCACGGCAAAGCAGCTTATTGCGACAAGCTGGTTTGCTGGTGCTATGTTTATTGCTTGTTTATGTTCAAGTGAATCATGTCAATGATTAAGGTTTTCTGGGTACAGTATGCAATTTTGTAAAGAATGCTTCATTCTAACGGGGCGCGCATGTGCTCTTAACTGTGCACATATGTGTATACAATATCTCAATTGGCGTCTCCAACTTTAAATTGTGTTCTAATCAATGTTCCAAAACTCCAAAGTTGAAATCCTTATCTTGCTGGTCGACCGCGGCAGGCGGCGAGGGACGCCAGTAAAAGACGACACCGCGCCAGCTAACAGTAGCACGAGCGCTCAAACCGCACTGTCGGGTCGCGACCAGCTCGGACCGCGCCGAGTTAGCCAGCCGCTAAGTTCTGGTCGCGCTGCATTAGCCGCCAGCGAGCCCCGACCGCGGCGGGTTAGTCGCCTTCGAGCGCCGAGCGCGCCGCATTAGTCGCCGCGGCGTTGTGACCACGCCCGGTTAGTCGGAGCCAAAACAGTCGCTGATCGAGCGAGCGCGGGTTAATAACAAAGCCGAAGACGCCACGGCGGAGCTAGGTAGGGTCACGAGGCCGCACGAGGTTGTATCGGCGCGGCCCGCTGCGCAGGCCGCGCCGATACAACGGACTGGTTGGAAATGGTTCACATGGATGTCACTGGAGTTCAATGGCCCGCCATGGGAGCACTTGGCTCGGCATGGGAGCACATGACTTATTATGGGAAAACCATTATTTACCGTAGCAGTTACAGTGAACGTAACTCTTTGAGTGGCATTTCAGGTAATAACCATTCTTGCTGAGCAACCGAATTGACATCATTTCCGGAACAAAAAAAAATTGTTTAAGAGACCGGAGTGTCCGAACAAATGGGACAAAGAGCAGAATGCCTTCTGACGAATCAGCAGCTAGACCATGAGCCGACCCGGGACGGGATGATGGATAGCGGCGGCAAAGGGGGCACAGTTTGCGGTCGACACGCCTGCAGCGGCGGCAGGCGTGGACCGAGAGTCGGCCAAGGTAAACTAGCGCCAGCGCCGCGTCGGCAGCCCGGCGGACCATGTCCGTGGTGCGGACAAAGGCAGGCAAGAGGCTCCGCGGCCGCACAAACGCCACGTCAGCTGAGGAGCGGGGACGGCAACTAAAGAGAAATCAGCCGGGACAACACGAAAAGCGGTATGTACACCGCAAGCAGGCGGGGACAACTCAGAGTGACAGACCAACAGAGCGAGACAAGAGACAGAACAGAGGGCGGCTTACCTTGGACCACGATAACGGGGACCGGGGGCGGGTAGGTGACGGTGACGGTGACCGGGTCGGGATGGACGGGGGTGGGGCGCGGCGCGGCTGCCGGCGGGCAGGTCGGCGCGCTGCTCGGCTCGGACCGCTCGCCGGTCGTCGGCCGCTCGCCGGGCGCCGGTGTCGCCTCGGTCGCGGAGGACGGCTGCGCGGTCGTCTCGGCCGCGACCGGCGCCTCGGCGCTGGGAGCCAGCTCCGGCGCCGTCTCCGTCCGCTTGGCCGACGTCTGAGCGCGCGCAGAGGTCGGCGGCTCGGCGGTCGGCGACGTCGCACCACTCGCTGTCGGCTGGACAGGGCTCGTCGCGCTGAGCGGCGCGGTGGTGGCCTCTTCATCTGGAAGCGAGGTGGTGCTCTCCTGGTCCGCCGACGCGTCAGTGACCCATTGTTCGGACGGTGCGTCGGCGCTCTGCCGACCCAGCGGCCCGTCAGTGCCCTGTTCGCCGCCGTCGGACTGGGAGGGCGTGCTCTGCTGCCCGGCGGGTGTCGTGGCGGCGCTCTGGCCGGCCGCGGCGGGGTCAGCGGCCTTCTCCATAGTGGCCGTCACCGGACGGCCGTCGGCCGGCAGCTCCATGGAGAGTCGGTACAGCTGGCCGCCGTCCACGGCCACTGTGACGGTGACGGTGCGCGCTGTCGGTGGCAGCGGCACGCTCTCCTCCACTGTTGAGAGCGTCTGTTCCCCGCTGCCGCCGGCGCCGGCCGGGTCCTCAGACGATGCGCCCTGGCCGTCTTCAGTCGGCGTAGTCATGGCAACGTGGCTGACGGCCGGCGTCAATTTCTCTTCATCACCGCTCGAGCCGGTGTGAGGAATCGCATTGCTTCGGGAATCAGAGTGGCTTCCGGCGCCGGGCGGCTGGTCAGGCGGGGCCGGTTCGGCAGCCAACGGCTCGTCGGGCTGCGCCGAGTTGGTGACTCGAGACTCATCGGGCTTGGTCGAGTCTGTGACTCGAGGCTCGTCGAGCTTGGTCGCGTCCGGTGGTGACAACGGCGCGCGCTCGGCCAGCGGGATGAACTCGAGGATCTCGATAGCGTAGGCCGGGACCGGCTGGTCCCGACCTGCGCCGGGCCAGGCGGGCGCGTCCTGCTGGGGACGCTCTGACGAGTCGGCGCCGATCTTCTCCTGGGAATCGGCCCCGGCTCCGCTGACCTTTTCTTGGGAGTCAAATATTGTCGGCTTCTCTTGTGGGAAGCGCAGCACCGGATGTTCTTGAGAGTCAGTACGTGTGACCTTATCGCGGATATCAGAATCGGCGACCTTTCCTCGAGCGTCAGACCCAATGGGCTTCTCCGAAGTGCTGAGTGAGCCCATCCCAGCAGCGTCCTTCTTCGCTGGCAGCCGACCTGCGGCGCCCGGCTTCGCGGGCGGACCGGACGCGCCGTCTGCAGGCGGCGCGGGGGACTGCGCGTCGTTCTGCGGCCGCTCGAGGTCCACGGCGCCGCCCCGTCCGGCCGCCCGCTCCGCCATCGGCCCCAGGTACGAGAAGTCGATGACGCGATCGCCGAGGATGGTGGCGTGCTCGATAGCGAAGGTGCGCTCCTCCTCGCCGCTGCCCCTTTGCAGTTCGTCGCCGGCCGCCGTGTCCAGCACGTAGTCCAGCACCTGGCCGCTAGCCGGCGCCACCAGCAGCAGGTCATCGCCGGCGAGGGTGGGGTCGGGGACGGGCGGGGTCGGCGCGGCGGCCGCATGCACGGCGTCTACCTGTCTACGCACACGGACGGGACGCATGCGGGCCGCGGCGGGGCGCAGCCGGCGCCTGTCGGCCTGATTACCTGGCCCGCTGTCGGGTGAGGGGGACGAGGAATTGGACTGTTTGTTGTCGGCGTACGTGGTGACGCCGCCGGATCGCTGGTCGACCGGACACTGGCCCGGGCTGGCCTGGCCGCCGGTCAGGCTCCATACTGCGAACAAAGGGCGGGGGCCGGTCAGTGCGCGGCGAGCAGGTGTCGGCACTGGAGGGAGGCAGCCCACCCGGGTAGGCTGTGCCGCACGGAACGTATGCGCGGCGGTACAGTATGTCGGGCTCATGCAGCGTGCTTGAGGATGTGAACCCCTCGCCATGGCGTTTTTGGAATAACCTTTGAGTGTTCAGTTAATTTGATGAGTGAGGTGTTGCAATTTTGAAATGGTATGATGAAAATCGGAGAGCGAATACAAATTTTCTACATAGACCGTGATGTAACGTTTCCATTTGACCCAGACAGGGGCTGCTGCTGCATAGGACCTTATCTCCTCGCCGAGCCGGCACCGGTGTGGGCAAGATGCCGCTCACCCAGCTCGCCTGCAGACCTACATCCAACGGCAGGGGCCTTGTCGCTGTGTCACACCATGTAACCAGGTCAAGTCGGAAGTGAACGTTGCAGACGATTGAAGTAAATATGTGTCAGCTGTGCGTTTTTGACAGCAGGTTTGTAATGGATTCGGGAAGATTCTGCTGACAAGGACGTTTTTGCTCGATACGGTTGAGTCATAATTTCACGTGTTGTCCCAGTCATGTACAAAAAACGGGGACAAGGATGTTGAGCTTCACGATTGCTTACTGTATTTATAATTCGGTTCAGAGGTAAGAAGTAATACAAATCGTCGAGGTGTCGTTTTTTAGATTATTTTTCGGCACAACCCTCATAGCCGCCATGACCGGACGCCAGAAATTCGCGGTGAGAGCGGGGAGCTTCAGCCACTCTAAATGCTAAGAACATATTGCCCACGATTCTGCTCTCCTTGTGCAACGCCGCTCGAGTGAAGTCTAGCCCACTGGGCGCTGGCCGAGTGAGGGCTGGCCGAATGAGGACTGGCCGAGTGATGGATGGCCGAGTGAGGACTGTCCGAAGGAGGACTGGCCGAGTGAGGGCTGGCCGAGTGAGGACTGGCCGAGTGAGGGGTGGCCGAATGAGGACTGGCCGACTGAGGGCTGGCCGAGTAAGGACTGGCCGAATGAGGACTGGCCGAATGAGAACTGGCCGAAAGAGGGCTGGCCGAGTGAGGACTGGCCGAGTGAGGACTGGCTGAGTGAGGGCTGGCCGAGTGAAGACTGGCCGAGTGAGGGCTGGCCGAGTGAGGACTGGCCGAGTGAGGACTGGCTGAGTGAGGGCTGGCCGAGTGAAGACTGGCCGAGTGAGGACTGGCCGAGTGAGGACTGGCCGACGGTCACGGGCGACATCGTCAGTCGACTTGGTTCGCCGAATCGGGCCCTGCCGCGGGCGTCACGATAAACACGGGCAGCCGAGCGGTGAGGCGGCATCTGGCTGTGGGCGGCGGCGCCGCCGCTCGCGCCACCGGCGGCCGGACCCCTGTCGCGGCCCGGACCACCCGCTGAGTGAGCCGCGTACACCGCTGCCCACACATCTGCAACGCCGTCACCGCCGGAGACAGAGTCCGGCTGCTCCGCTGCAGCTCGCGACGGAAACGCTGTCCCAGTTCTGGCGATACGCGACGCTGACAAGCGCTGCAAAGGAGGGCAGGGAAGGCGCGGGAAGGCGGGGACAACTTCACAGATGTCCGACACCAGTAGGAGTTTCTCTAAGCCATTTAAAATTATGTAGCCAGAGAGACACTGAGCTCCAGGTTTTTCGTCTTGATGAGTTGGGAACTGGGAACTGGGAGCTGGGAGCACGAACGTCAACCCAGCACTCACTTGGGCCGCTCGCGACGTGTCGCGTTCCCTAGTCCAGCGAGCCCAGCGCGGCAGGAGGCCTGTCGATACGCCCGGAGGCGCTAAAGTTGGCCGTGCACCAAACGCCGTCACAGTCGTTTTTCACATGTCAACAAACCATTATTTCGACATTATCACGCGTCAAGATATATGGCCGCCCTAATACCGACCGCGCTGGCTCGGCTAGGTGACAGCATTCATTATTCGCGCGCGGCACGCAGTCGTCAGCATTCTCCGGTCAAATTGGGTCATTTCTCATAGCGGCCGACGGTGGCCAGCCTTTTTCCCAGCGCCGCCGCGTCGAGTTCGCCGCCCGCGCCCCGGTCGCCGCCGTCGCCGCCGTTTACGACTCGATTTTTCACGCGTGACGTTTTGATAAGACAAAATCAATGCGGAAAGCTGGACGTACCGCTGGCGACACTGGCTCGCGTGGGTTTCACGCAGGGCGCACTTGCTTCTCCGCTATGGGCGTTTGCCCCGATGACTGTCATGTGTGCTCTGTGCATGTGTTGAAGCGTGTGCGAGCATGTTAAGCCGAGCGGTCAGACCACCGACTGGAGGGTGCTCCCCCGAGACGCCATTGGTAACAGTTAGCAATCGAACAAGGCACTCATGGAGACACATGACACGTGCCCGCACTTATAACACTCATACAAAGGCTCATATGGCAGTGCTTCAGTGTCTTCCACTCCAATAACAAGCACTCGTTCCCCACGGGTGCCCTAATCAAGCCAAAACTCACTCACAAGCCCTGCAAAGGATCCATTGCTTGGCCAACACTTTTTCACTAATGATCGGTTCCCAGCATTTCGACTTTGGTTTGCTGCGGAGTTTCAGCGATGTATATGAGTGATGCCGTGCATAAAATAAGCTCTTAACAATCATTCTGCTGCAGATCACCGTATTCCCGCAAAAAAATAGAGGACCAGTGTGATTGCTCGACCTCTCGTGGTCGAGCTAATGCTCACGAGCGCATCGCAGATGGTATGACGAAAACAGCTCCTTGCACCTTTTTGGACGGCTATTTACCCTCGAATATCTGCCTTGGCCCCTCAATTCTGACTAAAATAACAAAATTGTTCCCGAATGCAAAAATGATAGTTTTGCAATTTAGACAAAATCAGTCTTTCCCCTCTCCCCCTCCCACTCCAGCACATTTTGCAAGGTTTCATTTAAGATAATAGTCAGGCTCCCGTCATGACGTGCTTCTCGAGTATTCCCTCGCATGTCTATGAGGATTCCGTGGCCAGACAGACTACCGTGCTCTCAAGAGACGGCGGTGCTCCTGCGAGGCT